GGTGAAGAAGCTGAATGGCTCCGGAATTTCTTGGAAGATATTTCATTTTGGCCCAAACCTTTGGCACCTATTTGTATACATTGTGATTGTCAAGCGGCAATAGGCAGGGCAGGGAGCGTTATGTATAACGGAAAATCTCGTCAAATACGACGGAGACACAATACCGTTAGACAATTACTCTCTAGTGGTGTTATCACAATTGACTACATAAAGTCAAGAGATAACGTGTCGGATCCACTTACAAAAGGCCTATCTAGAGAGGCAGTTGAAAGATNCGCTCGGCTCGGCTTCGGCTTCGGATTTGGATTTGGATTTGGATTTGGATTTGGTCAAAGATCGATTGATTGATTAATCTTTTTGGACAAAATTCCTTTCAAATATTTAATTATTTAATTAAATAATTAACGAAAAATTCAATCCGGAATAACCCATGACCCGCGACCCGGTTCGGTCAGGCCCGTTTTCTTTCCCGGATTATTTTAAATATATTTTTTCCCGCAATATTTCCAAACACCCCTTTTCCAACAGCCATGGTTGTTTCTTAAAGGTTGCAAATCTTTTCAGAAACAATGCCAGCAACTCTATAAATAGAGTTTGAATCCCAGAATCTTTCCTTACGAAATTTTCTGAGCTTCTTCTTCTTCTTCTTCTTCTGCACAATATTTTCCAGTGTGTTTTACGATCATTGGGTGGTTCGCAGTTCATCAGAGTTTTGGTACCAATACACTGGTGAGTTAAATCATTCTATCCTGGGAGGATATATTCCAGCACCTCGGGTACTTGAGGGGAATAATTTCCTTAAGGACACACTGTGTATTCAGTGGGCTCGATTTATTCCTATACTGTTTTTTTTTTTTGTTTTTCAAAATCTATTTCGTTAAACAAGTATTACTAACTTTCTGTTTTGTTTTTTTCAGAAAGTTTAATTGTTTATTACAGCAATACAGAATAATAACATTGGTTACAAACTTGCATCTAGAATATTTCTTATTCGAAGTCATGATCGTATACCGTATGCAAGATCGTTGTTACTCATATTTTTATAGCAGCCCCCTTCATGTCAATGTATGCTTCTATTTGTCTGCAAGAGAAATGAGACTAAGACTTTTTTTTTTAAAAAAAGAGAGAAATGTGACGAGACAATGCATGTAAAATATAAGAAAATAAAAAATTGAGAATTAATCAAATTCATAGTTAACTTCTTCATGGTGATCAAAGAGAAGCTTTTGAGAAGCATGATATGTTTAATTGGAAAATGAGCAACATACAAGATTTTGCTATAAATCCCACAAAAAAGCGGCAAAAAGAAGGTGAACCAACATCGGAAAAAATAACATGCCAAAGGCAGTGGAACACAAAAATATTAAAATCCAAAAGCTAATATAATAGCTAAAGAAAAGTGTAAAGGAAGATGATTATACCTTAAGAAAGGTATCATTTCCTTCCTTTTGCTAGATTTCTTCAGGTTCAGGGTCGCCGATCAGCTTTGATGTTACGAAGTTAGAGTTCTTTTCTGTTGGGGGAAGGGGAGGGGGAGGGGGGAAATTTGGGTATTAAAGAAAAGGGCTCTAGAAAAATCAATTGGAGTTGCTTAAATTATCTCTAGTCTATTTAAGTTTCAATACGCGTGAGCCTTCTTCTTGAGGCGCGTTTTGCGCCTGGGCTTGTGCCTTACTTTCTAGGGTGTTGCCCAACTGAAGCAAGATCAAGAATGCTAAATATCCAAGAAATTCAAGAAGTTCAAGAATCCATCCATGATTAGGATTTTGTTTCCTTAAAAATTATAATTTCTTATTTCTTGTTTCCCGGTAATTTAATTCTTGTTTTAGTAGGATTATATTTGTAGTTGTAGTCAAAGTAGGATTGTTAGTTAGTATCCCATCCTTACTAGAATTCTTTTTCCTATTTAAGTTAGGATAAGTTTTCTTAACCTTATTTTTATTCTAGTTTAATTAGAATTAGTTTTCCTTTACCTCATCAATTTTACTCATTGTAAGGCCTATTTAAAGGTCTCAATATGCTGAAAATAAAGATGGGTGATTTGTTTTTCTAAGCTTTTGCTTCAAAAATGTGATTTATTTTTTATTTTCTTCTTCCTCCTTTATTCAACGCTTCTTGCAATCTTGCGGGATTGAAGAACGAGTGGGAAAGGTTCTTTTCATCTTACATTCTTCTCACGTGCGTTTGAAGAACACTTTCGCTAGTTTTGTGAAAAACTTTAGTGGGATGCTTTTGTTTCTCTCTTCTTGTACTTGAGAGGTGCAAAACCTTGAAAGTACATCACCAACAGAACCTACGGCCACTAATACCGCCACTGCACGTTTTTGGTGTGCCTCGCCTCAATTCACGCCCCGGGACTTGCCCCAAAATGTACTTCAAAATACTGGTCTATATCAGTCTGCATTCATGATTTGATTTTGTTTCAAAATCCTCTTTTCCAGCTGAACTTCATAGAGCATGAGCTTCAGGATGTTGAAGTTCCTCTAGTACTGGTAAGTTCAGAAGTTGCATTAATATATGCTCTTATGTGCGTGTTATTTGGATTCTCATTCTGAACCATCATTTCATTGTTAAATTAAGATCTCAATCCAAACTGACAAAAATCAATAAGAAGAAATGGAACTTTTTATCAATGTAGATAGTCAGGTTCTCGTTTTCTGCATGTATTAGAAGTTTTATGTGTTGTGATTTTGATTTCCGTTCTTAGGTTGGTCATTCTATTGGCTCATACATATCTCTGGACATTTTTCGGAGATTCCAGGAAAAGGTGAAGACTACATCCTCTTTATATTGGGTACAAGGTTTTTCACTATTATGCCTTTTCCCCCCAAAATCCTCATTCTGATATTTCTATTTTTTTCTAGGTGACATACTGCATTTGCTTGTATCCATTTCTAGCTGTAAACACCAAGTCTTCAACACAAGCTATTATTAAGAAGATTGCAGTGTAAATCTCTTTGATTTTTTCCTTGTCTGTTTCCTATGTGAAGTGAGAGCTTTGTACTTTAGCTGTTTATTTTCCTTCCTTGCCTTTTGAAGACCAATCAGTTTTTTGCTTTTTCTCGTACTGCAGACTACTGAACCTTTGTTTTCAATTCTCAATGAAACAGTTATAGAATCCCATTAATATCACATTACTTCGGGCAGTGAGCATGTGTGATCAGAATATCAGATTGCTTTTTGTTTAAAATTTCAAATTCTCTTTGCAGATCATATGACTTGATAAACATTTCCTACTAGTCACTAGCTATAGTTGCTTTTATTTTTCGACCTGTAACTTCTGTTCTTCTAGTTTGTATGTCCAATCTGCTGGTTGTTTGCAACTGGTTATTGTCACTGTTTTGTTTTTTGTTTATCTTGTTTTACGAATCTCTTTGAGCTTGAATTGTGGATTTAGAGTTTTGACAGTTTCTAGTTTATTCATTTAGGACTGAATATGTGGCATCTATTCAAAGTATCCAATAAACAAATCTAGAGGCACTTTTATTTTTGAGTATATTACCATTACTTTTCCTGTTTGTGTGTGACATTTGTGTAGGCATTGTTTTCCTCATGCAATTACAGTGACAAAATTTGATGTTCTTCGGTTATAACTTCTGTAGATCTCGCACTTTATGTACGGGCCTAAGCTCACTTGCAACAATTCTGGCACTGTTACCAGCCTGGATCTCCAGATTTCTGGTGAAAACATCTGTGGGGAAGTCCTGGTCCCCACCTGCAGTGGAGGCTCTCTGTAAACATGTCCTCAGGGTGAGGGTCAATTTCTTCTGATTCTCTTTAACACTGTTGGTAATCAGATCTGAAGTATTAGATCAACCGGTTACTCATTTTTGTTTTGGATGAATAAGCAATGAGTTCGACTTGCCAAGTTGATCTGTAAGTTAATTCTTCCCCGAAATGCCAAGTCAAAGTTCTTATCTAAACAAATTTGAAAAGTCAAAGCACGTCGATGGTAAAGATCATTGTCTTTTTTACCCTTTCAAAGCCATCAAACTTAAGATGACTTATGTAGTCAAACATGGACAAATCCTAACTCTTACGAGAATAATTACACCTCAGTTCTAATCACCCATGGTCAATGGAGTGGGTTAAAAAAATTATACCTTGATGGCTGTGGTTTTCTTCTAGTTCTACTTGCTGTAACCTTGAGGAGCACATGTTGAAGTACAAAATCATTTAACTCCCTTTTCTTCATTTGTTTTGTTACAGTTTTGGTCGAGAAACGAACTTTGCTTTCTATTCTTTGTGATATTAGATATTGTGAAATCAGCCATCTATATCTATTGTTAGCTTTAATACTAATAATTGTTGGCAACTGCAATATGCTTTTCAGTACCATACCATTCAGAACATTCTATACATGGCAATGACCGAATTTGAAAAGGTAAGTTTCTCCTTGTCACATTATCATGACTGCTCCAAGGGTACCCGTTACATCTTTCATGCAAAATATTCTTGTTAAAGATGATGGTGCCTATGGAAGAGATTGTTATAGACCGTAATTTTTCATAAAGGTGGAAAAACCTGTGATTTTTGTTGCAAAACTGCTGCATGACAAGCAGGAATACTCCCATAGAAAAGCTTTAAACGGCAAGCTAAAACATGACCAAAAAGAAAGAAATTTCCCCCAACTGCCCCAAATCCGTACACATCTGAATTCCTCCATAGAAGTTTTCTCAGTCTATCCTGATTATGATTTTTTCCCCTTCTGGATTAGCTTTCTGAAGTACCTGATTGGTCATTTATGAGGGAAAAGAAAAGTCAGATGGCATTTTTGTTTGGCGTCGACGATCATTGGGGTCCCTTACATATTTATGAAGAGGTAAATAATGTCTTATTTCATTGCGCATATTTTCTCCTTTTATGTTTGCAATGTGAAACTACAAAGATTTACTCTCTATGGTGTCTTATTAATGGTCGATCCGAATCTGATTAGCATTTTGAAAACTATTTATGCTTTATCGTCGTTTCCATTCCAGACTGTTGTGCATACTGTGAGAACTGGTTTTTTTGAGCTTATGTCTAGTTGAAGACTGTAAGAAGTAATTTAATGAGTTTCTAGAAAGAGATAAAATCCAGGATTTCTAGTTCAATTCTACAGTACGGTCGAAATTACTGCATCTTGAAAGTAAGAGAAATGAGCATGATGTTTAAGACATCAAGTATGATTTCGTAGGTTATCATTCTATTCATTATTAATTTTTTTATCATCTAATGTCCCTCCATAATATTTTAAGCTTGAAACTAATATTTATAAATTTACTATTAAGAACAAATGTATCTAGTCGTAAATTCTATTGGTGTTGCTGAAGGATGTAATCTCCTGCCACAACTTGATTACCTTACTCGAAACCATAATTGTTTGATCAATTTTCAAAGAAACAGGAAGTGGATTAACTCATTTGTTTAATGAAATTGGAGATTGACAACGTATTTTTGGGCAAAAAATCTATAAACAAACAGATTTTCTTTATTGACGGCCTTTCTCTCGTAAAGCAATCACACTAGTAAATGGCTAATCACATTTTACAGAACCAATTTTCTATTGCTAAATGCGAGTTTTGTGGTTACAGATATCCAATAATGTTCCAGGTGCTGTCCTAGCAGTTGAACGAGGGGGTTATACTCATGCTTTTTCTTGCACGGAGGTTGGCTCATTATGGGTAGCTCAGCATGTTTCTGCCTTGATCAACAATTATTTATCAAAACATTGAGTACGCTTTTAACATAATCTTATTGATGTGTCACGTATTAATTTTTATTTATCTTTTTGTTGAGGGGTAGGACTATTATTGTGTAAGGAGTGGTACACGAACCATAGGCGAATTTAGGATTTAAACTTAATGAGTTCAGCCTTTAAGATTTTTAGTATTGAACCTATTATATTTTTAAAGTTATGGGTTCATATCTACTTATTTAAATTTTAGTAAACTTTTACACATAAATTTATGTTCCGCCCCAAAAGTTAATGAGTCCAGTTGAACCCGTTGATATTATGTTACATCCGCCTCCGATAGGAACCTTTAACGAGCATATTAATCAATGAGAATATATCCCGTAGAATGATTGAGGTGTGCAAACACTGGCGATTTAAAAACAAAATCAACTTAAAGAGTGCAAGTGGAGTTAGATTTCATGTTTAATCCTCACCCACTCTTCCCATTAGGATTATTGTGGTTTCCCTTTCCCATTGATGGCTATTGTAGCAGAAACCAATGCAGCTTCTGACCTTTATCATGATGAAGCTTGTCTCAACGTGAATGGACTGACTGCTGCTACATCATTTGCAGGTCTTGGAATTTATGGTGAAAGCAAATTTGTGTGCAGTAAATGTTTGCATGAGGATTTTTACCTTTTTGTATAACAGGTCTGTCCGAGCGGGGAACCAAAATGTAAAGAACCATAATATGTGGAAAACAAACTGGCCACCATAATATAATATGTATAGCGTGATTATTCACCGCACTATACTTTAACGATATATTTGTCCGTTAAGGTATAGAGCGGTATTGGGCCCACCGATAATTCTTCTGGAGTTAACTGACACATCAGTAATTCTACAGGGTATAACGCAGTTAAATACCGCCCTATACGTAAAAGTTGGACCCTTCTGTACTTAATTGACAGACCAATAATTTAACTGGATATAGCGCGCATATTTAACGCGCTATACATCAATTTTTTCCTTATTTAAATAGTTTCAGGATTTTGTAATAATCCATTCAGAATCCTTCAAATCTTCTGAAATATTTGTTCGTTAAGTTATTTTGCATTTTGTCATATTGTCTGAAGAGCGAAGAATTAGGGTTTCATTATATTGGGGGGGTGAGGTTGTGGTGGAGAATAACTCAGTACGCTATAGTTGTTCTCCACAGTGTCATGTTAAGTTGCCACTTACAATGGAGTACGATACATTGGTATCGTTGTTATGTACAAAAATGAGTGTGAGCAAATGTTCGGTGAATATTAAAGTAACCAGAAGATATTTGTATTCTGTTACTCCGCAAGGGGTTGCTTGTTATGCTAAGTTTAACATCGAAGACGATGAAACTATAAGAGATTTTTTTAGGACTTCGGATGAACATCGGGAATATCTTGTGATAAAAATGTTGGAAATGTACGTCAAGGCTGAAGACGTTCGCAATAATGAGGTTCCGCAAAATAGGGATAGCCCTCAATCATCGGGTGGTTATTTTGGAGCAGTTTTAGCCGAACAGGTTCCGGGTGAAAGAGTTTGGCTTGATCTAAACTTATCTCCATGGGCGAATGAGAAGCGAGGAAATAATTTCTCCCCTAGTTTACATAATCCACAAGCCGAGTGGTAAATTTTAATTTTCCTTTGTGTTACGATGTTTATTTTTATGTATTGAATTTGTATTAACACTCATATATTCCACAGCGGGTACCGGCCAGATATGAATTTTACAAGTTATGAACCAACGCCCAGTTGGAATATGCCTAGTTTTGGTGTGTTGGATCATGGTGGTCCATCCGGGAGTCATCATCAACTAGATAATGTTCATCATGGGATATCAACACATTATGATTTGTAAGTGAAGTGATAAAAGCTATATGTAAAGTTTGAATCAATTTGAGAAACTCATTATTTTAATGGTTGTGCAGTGAAAACGAGCAACTTGAGGTCCTGTCCTTACTCAATTACCCGAAGATGACATATTTAATCGGGATCTGGCAGATGCGCAGAGTCAGGAACAGAATAGTGATTATGACAACAATGACGATGAGTCTGGAGATGACACACCCTTCCCTGATGAGGGTGATGTGGAAGAGGAAGAGAATGTTGAACCTGATTTGACGAGGGAGCATGTTCCACCTTCCGTTAGACTAAGAGTGTACGAGTCCCACGTGTCGTTTCATTCAAGGAAGATTCCCTATCTTGATCATTTATCAAGTATGCCGGATGTTGATGCCCTCACAAGGGATCTTGATGAAATTCGGACAGCAATGTGGGATGAATCTAGAGCAACGGTGTTGTCAAAGGGCATGCTTTTTGCTGATAAAGCGCGCCTAAGCAGGGCGGTGCGAATGTACAACAAAAAAAGTATCGTGAGATCGTGGTTCGTGAGTCATCTCCGGATGTATACAAGGTTATTTGTCGTAGATGGTTTACGGGCTGTAATTGGATGCTGGGTGCGAGAAAGCTGAAAACAAATATGTGGGTTGTGGGTAAATACATTGGCACCCACAATTGTGAAATGGACACATTCACATTGTAAAAATTAACTAATTAATATTTTTTTTAAACTAATAATAATTTCTCTATTTTACTAATTTTTTTATCACACTAATAATATAATGTGGATAAAAAATAATAAATTAATTAAATCGCAAAACAATCACGAAATAACATAGAACACAGTAAGAACTATTAGACATTTTTTATACATGAGTTTTAACAAAAAAATAAGTTGGAATACCTCGATTTTAATTTTTTGGAAAGTTGAAGATTTGGTGATTTGGAGCCGAACGCAACCCACTACGAGATAACGCCTTAGATACGATGTGGGACCGAGAATCTAGACTTTTTATGGGATCGGTGGATTCCAACTGATTTTTTTTGGTTAAAAATGGTGGGGGGAACCGCTAGAAAGGAGGGGCTGTTCTGGTTCGCGTATGTGGTGAAGGAGACTTGCACGTTTTTTTATCTAGGTATAGCGTTTATATATACCGCGATATACTATAGTGCGGTACATATGCGCTATACCTTCCAGCCCATTTAAAGTTCAAATATAACGCGGTATTTCATCGCGCTATACCTTAACGGACAAACGTGCCGTTAAGGTATAGCGCGGTGAAATACCGCGCTATACATATTATGGTCCCCAAGTTTTTTTTCTACATGTTTTGATTCTTTGAGACCAAATGAACCAAACTTTGGTTACACATTCGGGTCTGTCCAGGTCCAGCTATTTGTAATTTGTTAGAGAAAAAGGGTAAATTTGGTTATCATGACATGCTATTATAATTTGGTTACTGTAGAATTTGTATTTATGACTTGTGGCCTACCCTAAGATTTTTAGCTTTTGTCATCAATAGAAGAAACCTCTGAAGCTCTGCTTAAATGATCCTTAATTTTCATGATTCTTTTGTCTTTGCATTAATGAACCAGTTCCGTGTCTCCAGTCAAAGTGGTTGGAAAGTGGTGAAACCGATCCATTTAATAAGTTTTCCTAGAGTGATTGGAGTTTCTTTCCAAATTTTTAAAAAACTTATTTTGGACCAATTTGTTTTGTAAAAACTGTTCCTTATATTAATACGTTTATGTAGAGCAGGTGGCGATTGTTCGAAGTTTTCAATAACTGATTTGGCTGCAAACTCAATACTCCATTTGTTATTTTAGAAAAAAGGTGTTGTTTGATGTGTTTTTTTTTTAAAAAAAAAAAAAGGATTATCAAATTCAGGTTTTGAATTTTTGAATATTTAAAGAATTGAGTTCAATTTTTATTGAGAAAGAAACAAATACTTTTTGAGAAGCAAATGCAACCTTAGTTTTGAACATTTGTTTCTACTCCTTTAAAAATTTAAATTGGGACTTCCGTTCTGTTTTACGCTATTCGTGACATAGTTCCTTTCAAATTATGATTTTTGCGAAATTTTAGAAGTTAAAAAGGATTTATATAAGTTTGAGAAAAATTCAGAGTAACTAATGTAAAAGAATTTGACACAATGAGAGAGGTCATCAATATCTAACTCTTATTTGTCAGTCCCTTTGTTTGAATAAGAAAAGAGTATAATAGTTTTGGATTTTTATATATTTGTTTTTAGTTTTATGATCTTTATCTTCTTCTTTTTTACGCATGAGTGATTTATCTTTTACCCATAAGAGATTTTAAAAAGGACACTTTCTTAAGTTCAATATTGTAAATGACCAGTGGCGGATGCAGGAAAATTATACTGTATAGCTCGGTAATATTTTTTTAAATATGTATATATACTATATAATGACACCCATTGACTTCTTGGTGAGTTTGTTTCTTTATATTCTAACTCCCCTTAATGAAAATTCTGGCTCCGCCACTATAAATGACTCTTTTATGCTTTAAGTGGAACGAACTTTTCTTATATTTCGACGCACACTTTATTTATTATTTTTTAAATTTTTTATTTTAGTTTGAGAAAGAAGTCAAGGTTACATAAAATGTATTCCCTTTATTCCAGTTTATATGACATTATTCTCTTATTAATCTGTGTAAAAAGAATAACATATTTTTATATTTGGAAACAATTAACTTTACACTCCCCATTTACCCTTAATGAGATTTTTTATAGTCACATAAATGTTATGTCAGATTTAAGGCCACAAGTTATAAAAGTTTTACAGTTATACAAATATTATGACATGTTTAAGATCATAAATTTAAAAAATCTTTATTTTTTCTAAACTTCGTGTCGATTCAAATTATATCACATAAATTAAAAATGAATGAACGATAATTGTTTGAAAATTATGTCCAAGGATAAAGTGTTCCTTATACAAATGAAGTATATGTTATATAAATTACGACGAAAAGAATACATGCTAATTCCTTTTTGAAATGTTTAAAGCCTTTGTGTGACGATCTGATCTATCGTTTTAAGTACTAGATCTCTTTTTTATGTGTTATGAGACTTCTCATAATTTTATTTGATGATTTATGACTTGCGTGCGTGGTCAGTGTCGTTTTACAAAAAGTTTATATGTGAAATTTTGAAGAAAAAATAATTTTTGACTTTAAATGTGGATATGGTTGACTACAATCAACGTTTTTTGGTAAACGACCTCGGATCGGTGTTTTGGTTCGTATACATTTTTGGACGTGCATGCATATTTGGTTGGGGACCCGGGTAACCTGAGGCCGTTTCGGCACCTTATGTAAAAAGTTGCAAAAATGGGTTTTGGACTTGAAAATATTTAGAGTTGAAAGTCTTGAGTTTTGATTATCGATTCTTGATATTTGGTGTTATTTTAATGATTTGAGATAGCGAGCGAGTTTGTATGATGTTATTACACTTGTCTGAATGTTCGGATTGAAGCCCGAGGGGCTCAGGTGAGTTTCAGATGAGTTTTGGATGGTTTTGAAACAACTGTTAGATTGCTAGTGTGGAGTGCCTGCAAATCTCGCATTTGCGAGGTACTGCTGGCAAATGCAAGCATCGCTTTTGCGAGTGATGGCTCGCATTTGTGAAGAGGGGTTGAGATTGGAAATTTTGCATTTGCAAAATCTCAGTCGGATTTGTGAGGTGGGATCTTCGCATTTGCAATTGTGGTGTCGCAACACTAGCAGTGTAGAGCAGCTTCGCACTTGGTTCGCATTTGCGAGGGAGAGGACCTTCGCAAATACGAAGGCCTTCGCCAACTTTCAATAGTCTTCTGCTTACGCCGCTAAAGAAGCCTTCAAACCAATCAAGAGTGAGGCGGATTAGCGACCGGCTGGCAACTAATAAAGAAGAACAACAACTTTCTTAGGTTAGCAGACATCATATTGATCTCTATTGCTCCCACAAACGGTGATGCACAAAAAAACTGGAATACGAATGATATTTGTCGCATTTGCGATAATTGAGTGGTTGAGACACTGATTGCATTTGCAATCAGTGGTTTGCTTTTGCGGTGGTAACAATTGCACGGTATCTGCAACTAGGCAAAGGTTGGAAATTCAGGACTTAACTTAATTTACACCATTTGTGAACCCTAGACTCCATAGAGGCGATTGTTGGGGAGTAGTTTCTTCCCAACTTCATTGGTTAGTAACTTTAATTTT